CACATTCAACCCAGAGAAGAGAAGGATTTGGGAAGACCTTATTGCAGCCTATCAGTACTTCAAGGGGGCTTATAAAAAAGATGGCAGCAAACTTTTAGCAGGGCCTGTTGCGACAGGACAAGGGGGAATGGGTTTCAGCTAAAAGAGGGTAGGTTCAGACTAGGTATAAGGAAGAAATTTTTTATGCTGAGGGTGGTGAAACACTGGCACAGGTTGCCCAGAGAGGTGGTGGATGCCCCATCCCTGGAAACATTCCAGGTCAGGTTGGACAGGGCTCTGAGCAACCTGATCTAGTTGAAGATGTGCCTGCCCATGGCAGGGGGGTTGGACTAGATGACCTTTAGAGGTCCCTTCCAACCCAAACTATTCTATGATTCTATGAGAAAGAAGTTAAAGGATAATGTTTTGGCAAGACCTGTGAGTGATGGGGAAAAAGAGGTTTTGGGGGTAGAATTTCTTCAAATGGGAGGAAGCAATTAAACAGTTTATCCTTTCTGCACCTTGAACCTAGAGCATCCTTGTTTGCTGTATTTATTGCAGCTCCATCAGGGAAACTGGACATCTGGAGAGAAATTACACCAGTTCTTCGGGGGCGGAATGTGACCTTGTTATGGAAGGTGAGACGTCGGTGTAGAAATGGAAACAAAACCCTTCATAAAGGGGTTGGAAACTTCTCCCATGGACTTTAACAAGTTTGTGTGCACTTAATAGCAATTCAGTTTGAAAATGTCTTTTAAGAATCTAAGACAAGTACTACATATAACATACTTCAGAACATATGTAGCTGTATGATGGTGGGCTGTCCTGGCATTTCAGACATATATTTCTGTTTTTCTAAGTGTTATAACAAGACAAATCCCATTACTGAGATTTCTGCGTTTCCATTTCAACCAGTACATGTATGCATGTATGGAAACAAGTGTTTCTATTCTTACAGAAATAATACATCCAATTAGTCATTTAAAGTTCTAAATGCTTCTCACATTTTTTCAGCAAAATTTACTAAGTAATTGGTGTCTACCTCCATAACTTTTTCTCCAGCAAGCACCAAGTTTTCGAGCAAATGGAAGAAGTATTTCATATGAATTAACCTGGGAAAAAGTAGAAGATGGCTCTAAGCCTGAAAGCATCTCCTTTTCATCGGTCTACAATAGCACAAGGATTTCCATTGATAACCATTCCTACAAAATAAGTATCATGGCAAAGAACAATGTTAATTATTCACTTCCTTCAGTATTGATCATCCCTAGAGCTACAGGTAACAGTAGGAGTATTTTCAGTTAGATTTCCATTCTGAGAGTTTTGTTTCTACCTATTTTAAGTGAAGTGATAATTTATCATTTTGGGGGAACAAATGAACCTGTTCTGTTAACTCACATCACTGCTATCTGGAAATTCTTACTGTATTTTGGCCTACAGGGTGGTAACTGTATGTATATTAAGCTTAAGTGCCTTGATCCATACCTTACAACAGAAAGTCTGTTTTGCATGGACAGTCTCCACAGGGCAAAACACATTTAGCCTTAAACTAGGGCCTCAGACCTGCGGCAGGTGCTGTGAAGGTGCAGCCAGTGCCTCACAGGGAACCCTTGTATGTGATTAGCCCCTTGTGACTTTCTGTTTATGACTCCAGATTTCTGCAGTTGAGTTCTTTTTATGAATATATAGTAATAATTACTGGATGTTTTCTGAGCTGCCAGCTTTTAGCATACAAAGAGAACAGCTTTCAGCATGTGAAAGATCCCATATGTCTGATAGCGAAGGAACGCAACTATTTTATTATTGTTTTAACAGCTTAGCATAGAAACTATATTGATCTTCATTTATGAATCTGAGGTCTCATGCAGGAAAGTAATAGAGACTCTGTTTTGTTCATCCCTAGGCACTGAAGAGCTTAAAGAAGAACAGGTTAATGGTACAGATGACGGCATTTTTATTTCCTGGGAGACCAGACATATATATGACAGTTACATTATCGATTGGTGTAACTTTCCAATGATGCAGCCTTGTGATTTGCAGTGGAAAAGATTTGGGCCCAACACTTCCAGCGCTTTGATTCACTCAGGTGAAAGCTGAACAATTTTTCTTTCTGATGTCTGTGCAGCAATCTTTCATGCTGTGGGCATTAATTAAATTTGGGAAACAAATCCTGTGGAATATTGAAGTCTGTGCAGTGCAGGTGTAATTCTTCAAAGGCGTGTGGCATCATGTTTTGCCTAGCAAATGAATTAGACACCACAAATTTACCAGCACCAGTAAGCACTGGAAGTCAGCATAGCATTTTAGAAAAGTCAGCATAGTATTTTAGAAGAAAACTCTGCTGAGTAGCTTGTACTATGATCTTGAATGAGGATGGTGAGGTTAATGAACGAGTTTAAAATCTTTTAGCAGGAGATGCAAAATGGAGCTCTGCCTTATCTGTAACACGGGTCAGAAGTTCAGACTCGGGCAATTTAACACCCACTGTGTAGTGAGAGGTTTAGTGCTGTCAGTGTGCCACAAATAATGTGTCTCAGCACCAGTCCTTGCTTAGGACCAGTTGCATGGTTTTTATCCCAGTGGCAGCCATTAGACCTTTCTGGCTGTCTGAAAGTTGCTCTAATATACTTCCACAGCTGCAAGAATATAGCCTTCCTGGAGTCTCTCGAGCTGAGAGTTCACTTTGGAATGAAACATGTTTGAACAAAATTTGACTGAACACATTTCAATATCCAGTAATGGAATTAATTTCATACAAACACATGGGAGCCTCCGTCCTTACTGAAGGAGAGTGTGGTAACACATGGAAAAAATGTTGTCCAGTTCTTCAGTGGGTTGCACTTGGTTAATCCGAATGGGAGAGGATGTCAGTGAGGATAACATGGAATCCTGATGCATGGGTATGCGTCTACATTAAACAGTCCAAAACACAACCTTTGTCTGTGCCAGAAACGGAAATAAAATTATCTTGCTCTTTGATGCATTCGGAGTCTATTGTACACTCATCTTGAATAGTCTAGGGCCACAAAAACATATTAAACCCCCTCTCAATTCTCTCTTTCAGACAGAATAAATGTGTTCAATTCACATTATGCACACTAAGAATTGGTTTACCCTATGTCTCCTTCAGTTGCTTTAATAGCACAATAGCACACAAAGAAGATTTCTAATGGATTATAGACCTCTGTAGGAAGCAGTTAAGTAACAGCAGAAGCAAAAGACAAACCATAACCTATTTTTTTAATCAGTTCCACTATTTTCTAGCTGCTTTTGTTCCGGGGGTGAGATACAACTTCCACATCTATGGATCTGTTGCTAATAAAGCCTCCTTACTGGAGAAGAAGACTGGTTATCTCAGGGAGCTACGTAAGTTGGCAACATATTTAGGGTTTGTGTATTTGCTAAATTCATCTGTCACAAACAGAAGAATGCCACAGCCTTCCTCCTGCAACTAGCTAAAAATGTATTAGCTGTGTTGTTTCTAGATCAACAGTGAAGCATTTAAAAGTTGTACAACAATGTGCATGGCCCCACACCGAGGATATTTGACTAGTGCAATGATGAGGTAGAGTCCATGTTAATTAGCATAGCTAAACAATAGCTATTCTAATAGCTTTGTGTATAATGTGGACTGCGTGAAGGCTCTCTGAAGTTGACAGTTTGCGTGGAGCGCTTCAGCTTTGTTCAGCTTTTAAATACAAGTAAGCTATAAACAGAAACACCACATGGGAGTTCAGATGTTTTTCAAGTGAGAAGATGGACATTCTTAAGAATAACAGCAAGTTTAACTTGAATTTCGTTTCTTCCAGCTCCTCTGCGTGACCCTACTGTGAAAAAAGTTGAACTGACTTTCAATGCAGTAACACTATCTTGGGATTCTTATCTCACCAATGAGACACAGTCTGGTTTTATAAGAGGCTACCATGTTTATGTGTCGCCTATACAAGAGGACTGCAGTTTGAAAGGATCCAAAAAACATGTTCTTCCAGGTAACTGAGATTTAGGAATTTGTGTCGTTGATATAGGTGAAAGACTTTGTGGCTGTTGCTGATGCTGCAGCCCCTTAGAAAGTTTGCATTAGGCAGGCAAATTGGCTCATTAGGCAATATATAGATTTCAACACCTGCTGCTTTTGATTGCTCTCTAATGCTTGAAGTGCTAATGGGCGGAAGTGGGTCCTGGCTTTATATAGGTTTATAGCCCCCGTCCTGTTGTTTGTAGCTCCTTTAACTCCAGTGTGAGCTCCAGAAAAGATTCTTGCAGTACTGTAGGAGGAGTCAAGTTTCTGCCTCTTGTGATCTGAGTTCTGGATGAATTTCAAAAACATCTGTTTGTGGTCTACTTGGATGAGAGTCATAGGAAGCATGTTTAGTTTTACTAGGATTTGAGGTATTTTAGAAACAGATGGGATACAATTTACTTCCTTCAGAATTGCAGCACTGTGTAAATTCCCCATTTAAATTCTTTTATAGTGAAAGCATTTGTGGCTGTGCTCTACAGTGGAGTTCCTTCAGCAGAACTGAGCTGTGGGGTGGCACAAAGCCACATTTAAACTTTTATATCTGATCTTCCTGCTCCACACTCAAAACTGCTCCAGATGACTTTGCTCCATTATAATTTTCAGAAGTTTCTAAAATGTT